CATGCTGTAGCACGTTGCCTGTGTCAAGTCTCTCTGCAAACAGCTGCGCCAACAGATATGGAAATGCATCCTACCCCAGTCACACTGCCATATCTTCGAACTGATTGTTCCCACACTATGGTGCGTTTGGTGGTTCTCGATTTTGCTTGGGTCCTCCGGTTGTGCGTTGTGGTTGTGCGCTGTGTTTATGGTTGTGTGTTTGTGGTTATGTGTTGTCGTTGTGTGTTGTGGTTATGTTTGCGATGTCTTTGTCGTTGTGTGTTTGTGATTCTGTGATTCTGGTTGTGTTTGTGATTGTGTGTTTGTGGTTGTGTGTTTGTTGTTCTGTTTGTGGTTGTGTGTTTGTGGTTGTGTGTTTGTGGTTGTGTTTGTCGTTATGTGTTTGTGGTTGTGTGTTTGTGGTTGTGTTTGTGGTTGTGTGTTTGTGGTTGTGTGTTTGTGGTTGTGTGCTTGTCACTGCGTGATTGTTATTGTGGCTGTGGTTGTGTTTGTGGCTGTGTGTTTGTGATGGTGTTTGTGGTTGGGTGCTTGTGGTTGTGTTTGTGGTTGTGTGTTTGTGGTTGTGCGTTTGTGATTGTGCTTGTTGTTGTGTGTTTGTGGTTGTGTGTTTGTGATTGTGTTTGTTGTTGTGTTTGTGGTTGTGTGTTTGTGGTTATGTGTCTGTAGTTGTGTTTTGAATTGTCTGTTTGTGGTTGTGGGCAGCTTTTTGTTATGTGTTTGTAGCTGTGTGTTTGTTGTTGTGTTTGTAGTTGTGTGCTTGTTGTTGTGTTTGTGGTTGTGTGTTTGCCGTTGTGTGTTTGTGTTGTGTGCTTGTGTTTATGTGCTTGTGGTTGTGTTTGTGGTTGTGTGTTTGTGGTTCTGTGTTTGTGGTTGTGTGCTGTGGTCGAGGTCCGGCAGGGAACACTGGGCGTGGATGGTCGTGGTTGAGGTCCGGCAGGGAACACTGGGCGCGGATGGTCGTGGTTGAGGTCCGGCAGGGAACACTGGGCGCGGATGGTCGTGGTTGAGGTCCGGCGGAAGAGGACGAGGAGGAGAAGGAGAGGAAGGAAGGAAGGAAAGGAAGGAAGGAACGAAGAAGATGGGGCTGACATAAAATCTAACAACCCTCACCTGACAGGTGGGGAACTATATAATATTCTAGCAAAACACCGCAAAAAAGGGGCCTATCATGGGCTATCTATGTCCGACAGAAATCTGAGCCGTTCCCGAAACCCCTTCACAGCAGAACTCGCGCAGCACACCAAGAAGGGTCCATCACAGCAGACCCAGCATCCATTCTTTAAGTAGAAAAGGCTGCAGAAAATCATTCGAAAAGTGCCTCTACCTGGTTTTACCATGTTCTACCATAATCAACCGTGGCTTGGAAGATGTTGTTTCGCCGGTCATGTCAACCGTCGTGTCCGGTTCTTTCCGACCGCCTGCCATCCGAAGAATTCCAAGCAAACTGCCTCGGTCGGGACTCGGCTGTTTTTGCTCGGAACTGCCAGGGGAGGATTCGGGTCTGAGGTTATTCAGGGGGGCATCTTAAATTAAATACAACTCAATACCTCCAGCCATTGGGGGGTCCATCTACTTTCTCCACAACAACACCAAATAATGCCAGGGTGCCTCGATGTCAAGACAGGCCTATAGAACCATACCAGTAGGAAGTTCTTAAAGTTTGGATCCCCCCCACATGAGCGCGAAAGGGCGGGCTAGAGATCACCCTCTGTGAGAGGTTCACCCTATGTTCAAGACAAGGAAGTAAGCAAGTGTTCGATTTGTTTTCACGAGTATCAACGAATTTATGTATCAAATCAATGCACAGTCGAATTTGCCAAATTGAGTTGTATAGCCATCCTTCATTGCGACAAAACAATTATATACATGCTATAAGGGAACAAATAAATTTATCTCATGAAAACCTGTGCTCCCTGCTGATTCGGATGCTCTGCTCGACATGCCCAAAGGCCAACTTGCGCGCCCACCACTGGCTGGCCTCCTGCGGACACAGGTCGACTCTGATTGCATCATCTTTGGACAACCGTACATGTCGGCCCTCAATCATGGTGTTGTGGCTGCAAGGAAATATGTCGAATTGCTGTAAAGCTGTTGGCATCAGGCCTTGTACGTCAAGGCATTTTGATCCGTCACCAGCCCACCTGGCTGAATCATCACACACTGTGCAATCAGCGAGCCAGTGCGAGAATTGAGCCATATGATTTCCAAATTACGTCTCTCCTGTCCCTGTTTTTCCAATTACATACGTCCATTGACGTCTCTCCTATCCTAGGACAAGTTTTATCTAATTGTTTACTTCCATGTGAGTGAGTCGGAGTTTATCCTGTTGCAGATTCTAGTTCCACTGGTAAAAACAAAAGTAGACCAAGACCCAAACCAATTGGCCAGAGGGTCTTCCTCTTCTCACACACACCCACAAAACTGCAGTGGTTCATAAATTCATCAACTCAATTAAGTTGCAATCATCACCTGCCCAGGGTTGCCTCATCGGTTCCTGAAACACCGTCGATGCCCCCATGTTCAACCAAGAAAAGCAACAGTAGTTTCCTCCAGGCCTATCTCATTGCATCAACGGAGGAAAAACTAACGGTCCCCCCGTACCCACGTACCCAATGGAAATAGTTGAATTGAATCCAAAAGCCACTCATCAAGGTCAATGGCAGAATACCTGTCGATCCTCTCATCCTCGATCCTCGCCACTCTCTCGATCCTTCGGCCAGTTTGGCGTTCAGAAGTTCTGCCCCGCCGCACCGGTCGACCGCCTCAAAGGCCCTTCGTAGCTGGTCATCAGGCATCATGGGGTGCATCTTTGGCACCCAACGAGGACCCAACTTAGGTGTCAAAGAGAGCCAGCTTGCGATCACCAAGCCAGGTTAGTCCAGATGGCTGGGAATGTGAAAGACACCAAAGCAGACTAATGTCATGAAGGTCCTTTATGAACTAGCCCGTCATTATGGTATGGCCAGCTCTTTGCCCCGAAAAGTCCCGTGAGTGGACTACCCAGACAGGATCAGAAAGGTCTTCTTGGCCTTGGTGGGGTCCGGTGGTTTGGTGCAGTGGATTGCGGTGATGCTATGATGTTGAGACAGCTTCGTGCTGAGAGTTTTACAATCATCGTATGTGCTGGGTTACCCATGTGCAACGCATGTGAAACTCTACCTTCAGCACAATGGCTACAGTACGTTGAATTGGAATTCGGGATGCACGAAATGAGCGGTGCAAGGTGGTTGATGCAAGTGTCCAGTTGAACAGCCTCTGTAGCTCTTTGTCTGATTTTGCTCGAGTTCTGGTTCGTCGTAGGGCCGTAGGGCGGGCCCAAAAATGGCTGAACGACCTCAATATATGAAGAAACCATTGATTTGGTGTCAGACTTTGTCTCAAACAGATTCATGTCCATGTCTTTCACCATCTTTCACCATCGTCTTTGATGAACTCCTCAGGCCAATGAGTTTGTTGAAGCGTTTGGTACATGAGCAGAAGCCAATGCTCCTTAGCTTGGAGCTTAGAATGTCTCCACCAACATGGAGCGAAGGTTGGTCACTTGGAGACATTCCAAGAGCCAATCGGCTGGAAGGCAAAGGCAGAACATGGAGGCCATATGAGGCCATGTCTGTCACCGTAGAGACGCGTCACCAGATTGGCCCCGTAGAACGCTGAACAGTTTGTCATGGCCCGTGTGGTGGAACCCGGTGATGGCCTTGGTATTGGAACCATAGAGTGTTCACAAGCAGCTGCTGGGCCAACACAACGAGAAGCTGCTGGGCAACCTGCAACGAGAAGCATCACTCGTAGTAGATGAGAGATATGCAGCTGTCTTACTCTCATCAAACAGTGACACTACCTCTAGCGCTGCATGTCAGCTGCCAACAATTCCAGCTTGGCACCTTCATATCTCAGGCAGTGGAGAAAGGACATCTCAGTCCGGGATGTTGGAGACGGCCTAACCAGCACTAATTATCTCTATATAGGTCTCGCATTAACGAAGCTCTCGCAGACTGTCTATTTGAGCTCAGAAGCTCAAAACAATTGCAGAAATCACTGCGCAGGAAACACCGTCCTCTTGATGAGCTTTGCTATTTTGCTGATAATGATGCAAAGAGCTCCCTTAGCGTCCAGGACTACATAAGTTCAGCTTGTTTGGATAAACACGTTCCCGCCTCTGGCCTTGGGGCTTTCATGTGCGTTCTCGAGCATCCCGAAGCTCCGGAGTCAAGTGGCTCCGGCGCTCTGCAAGGCCTGACCACGCGGGTCGCTCCAATTTGAGCAACCACCGAGCTACTTATGAGTGCGCACTGGTCACTCATGTTGAACTACAGTTCACATGCAAACACAACACAACACGGATCTCATCACTGCCTGGTCGTTCTCATACCTGTCTTGAAGCAAACTCTACATTCCTGCACGTTGCAGAGACAAGTGCAATAATTGCTCGTGCAGAGTGCAGTCGCTTGTTGTCCCTGGTAGTCTTCCAGTCTTCATCTGCGGGGTTATCTCAAGCAGTCTCAGCTAAGTCTCACCCAGGCGTACATCTTATAGATCATCCAAGATCATCCAAGTGTGCCAGGGGGTGGTAAACTGCAGGGATGCACCAAATCTCTACACGATTGTCTCCATGGCGGCCTTAATTTTGGTGTCCTGTCCAAAACGGCCTTAACTCCACAGCTTCCCGCAACTGCGCTGCATGCCCCACTGAAGCTGCTGTGGACCAGGTCTTGACAGGGGGCTGGCTCAACCTGGCATGAGACGATGACCAAAAAGGAACCACACAAGTCGATGCAAGTCTTCACAGAGCCATGATGTGTTCACGGGGCAGCATCAACATCAAGGAGTTTTGAGCATCAGTCACACAAGTGTTCTTGCACCCCTGCCCCCGGTGCATCAAGCTGACCGTTTTCAGGCTCGCCATGTTATATCAGTTCGCCTTCCCTGTGAAATGAGGCCATTGCTGAAACGATGCCAGGATCAATCCATTTCTCTACTATACATAAGGAATCTGTCTGTCAACTTCTGGCACCAATCACGTCTACCTCTTTCTCATCAGCTGATAGAACCTCGGCCTTCTCGATATGCTCATCAAGGTTGTCGAGCTCCCCTTCCAGCTGCGCAGAGTATGCGAATCTCTGGGTGTCTTCATTTGGACACCACAAGTACATCACAGCAATCAACACGATCCTCAGTACTCGCAGCATAGCGGGCAAAAACAAGCAAACAAATGCTAACAATAGCAACAACAATGACGGCAACATGAATGCAAACGGCAAGGGCAACAACAACCACAACCACTATTTTAACTTTCACTCGCTCAACAGTGTTGGGGTGCCATCTTCATCACTGCACTCCACTTGGGAGGATGTTTGATCGTAAAGCTCAACACGCGGCAGCCTTAAGGCCACCCAAGTCAAAATTATATAAAAGAATATCATATTATATTTTTATATAGACTAACCTAATAGCAATAGCCTCCAACCTAAGAATGATGGCCTCCAACCTAAGAGCGATGGCCTCCAACCTAAGAGCGATGG